CCCCTGCTTTGGCCACGCCACTGTCCCAGCAGGCCGTGCCCTGCACGCAGCTCTTGCTTACACCATAATGTTAAAGCAACAGTGACTCTCATACTAATAAAAATACAGCTGTAGCAATTCATTTTACAACGGACGTGAGCAGTGCCCCTGCCTATAAGAACAAATATCAAGCCAGGAGCGGGGACGAGCACTTTTGTGGTCACCATACGGATCCACTGTAAGACTCGGCGCACAGTTGCCCCTCCTATAGTGACTTGTTCCCAAACTTCAACGATAGCTATATATCGCTTCGAGATGAAACCTTTGTTGGGCGGCTTTATCAGACGATGGCTCTCTTTATCTTCTGTGCCGTGAAAAAAAAAAAAGGGGGGGGGGGGTCAGTATCCTACGCGCCAAAGCCATGGTCCAGTATCCTACGCGTCAAAACCATGATGCTGGCTAAGAAGTCAATCCGCCTGAACGCTTGATTGCCGACTTAACAGCGTTCACTTTGCCGTACATGCACAGAAACTGCCGTCAATGTTTTTAGGGGCGGCGTTGGGATCGTCATGAAATACAATCAAACATGTCACAGCACACTAATTACTTGGAACTTGTCACAACGCTAAGCGCTTCCACGAAAACACGTTAATAACTGCCATTGCATCAACAATGGTCGCATTGTTAAGTATTACTGGATGTTAACGATTTCCCCATATATCATCAGCCCCGGAAACTTCGTGAACACCGCGTCTGTGCATGCGTTCGATGATTGATTAATACAACTCTTTCACTCGCCCTTTGGCGAATCTTTAGAAGCTTCGGATTACCTTTCAGTGCCTCCGAGAACCTAAAGGCTTCCTACAAACATACATGTGCTCGATGCAGCTTCCATATCCTCCTACATTTAAAGCGAAACCTTGCCGGCTACACGATCACACTACAGCTTCGAGTATACTGGCTATTCACAGTGACGCGGAAAGAACTGCGGAAGCAGGCTTCACCACACAAAGCCATTTATTGCGGGGAAGCCAGCATTGACGAGTTTTATTGCATAAATGAGTTAGCGACGGAAAAAGCTTCACATTCGGTGCGCGTTCATGTGTCATCACCATGCAGCCAAGGCGGTTTGCGTCCCTTGAGGTTTATTTTGTCCATATACAATGATCGCACACTGCGTTGCATGCTTTCCTTAATTACACCTTTAAAAGACTTTGAGCTTTGCTCTAATTGTACCTTAAACTTTCGGTCTTACTTCAATTCCTTACTTAAACGTGCGAACGCAGTAGCTCCAAGACACTATGTGCGCGCTTGTAGTGTAGAAGGCTGTGGTGTACCTCAAAGTGTAGGAGACGACGAGGCAATAGACTTCCTTTCGTTCTTTTCGTGCTGTTGGCGACGATAGAACGTGACCCGCACGCAAAAACCAATCATGCATATGCGAGAGAAAAACAAGCGATTCGTCTGAAGCCGCAAGATGTGCGTTAACTGCACAGGGATGCCGTAGCACAGAAACTAGTCCGCGATTATAACGTGGAAAATGCGCGACGCGGCAGATAGCCGAGGTCTTATTTTTAACATCCCGGAAATTCGGCCAACGAGGGCAGTTATACGACGATACAAAATAACAACCACAGGCAGTGGAGAATGTTCGTAGATAGGCCCTCCTATGAAGAAGCGAACAACGTACTCGACTGGAATTTGGTTATTAACATTTTGAATTAATAGCGTCTGCACATGGCCGTGTCAGAGGCAACTGTAATGTATCTACACTCGGGAAGACAGGCTACTAAACTCACGCGAAGCAGTAACGGGCCCTTTTTAACTGCTTAAATTTCTAAAAGTTCAAATATTTAAAAAAAACGTTCACATATCAGAACCATAAAAACATAGGCTGCGCTATACTATAGTTATGATGTTAATACTGAATAAAAAAAAACGAAAGAACACAGAAAAAAAGACAGTTTCGCCAAAAGGGCGAAGAAATGAATGTGATAGCAACATGTTCGAATGTTTTACAAAGCAAGGCTAGCATCCGATTTCACGTAACTCTACAAAACTCTGGTGTTGTAAAGGCACATTTACACTAGAGCGACGCGACATCGACACTACCACGACGAAGACACGAGGCAGACGCAGACTATCGGCCGACAAAGCACCCGCCGACGAAGTCGCCAGACCCCATGGTCACACTAGGCCGACAACGACGACGACGCCTCAAAAGACAGCATGTCGCCCTAGTGTAACATAATGACAGACCGAAAGCACCAGCAAAACACATCACCAGACCCGTCATGCGCGTGTCGTCGGGAGATCTGCGGCTGAGCGAAAATTCGCCCATAACCTTGCTTCGACCACGAAGGAGGAAATTTCAGGGGAGATAACAATGCCCCCTCCGAGGCTTCCACGGCATTTGAATAGACATCTTGCGCACACCACGGAAGTATTTTCTTCGCTTCCCCTTTGTGTATCTCCACACCCGTCTCTCGACACCGTGGATTATGGCAAGGACTGTGCCTTGTAGCCGGAGAGCTACAATGGCAGAGCAGGGACCATGGCTGAATGATGAGGTGCAGGTGTGCAAGTTTAGTCGGTGTCGCTGCATGTGCCTCCAGTGTGACTACAGAATTGGCCGGCGAAAGGCTGTGAGCACGACAAGGCACGGACGGAGTCTTCCAGAGACCATCGGCGGTCTGTTTGTGTCATTGTAGTGTAAATATGACGATGACAAAAGACACTTCCAAAGACAGTCGGCAGACCAAAATAGGCGTCGTCTGTAAACGCGCCTTAAGAGAACACGGTCGCTCCAGCTACACGTATGGAACCGTTTTTTTCGTGTTGTGAGCACAGCCCGTAGAAGCACAAGTCGCGCGCTGATCGTCGCAGCAACCATAAGCACCTCCCCCCTCCTTCCTCGTTTGCTCACGATAAGCGCGCGCGCAGACGACCCCGGTCAGAAAGACGATGTACGCTCTACAGAAAGAGGAGGCTAGCGCATCCTTCCCCGCATATACATACATACGTACGTACCTACATACATAAATACACGTATGCATGAATAACGGCGGCGGCGACAACAAGCCGAGACTGTCCATATAATTGCCATCACAGTAAAAGAAATAACCAAAAGCACTCTGTACACATATCTCTTTTGACGTATAAAGAATATCTCCAAGGGTAGACCGTCTCACTCAGAGTGGCCTGCCTAACGCCTGCCACCAATGTTCTTTGTTATGATGTCTACAAAGTAATATCTGGGGTTTTACGTCCCAAAGCCACGACATAATTGAGAACAAAACAGGTATGTAAATCAGGCGCGCCAAAAATGTGATATGCTAATAGCAAAGTGATGATAGGTCAAACGATCGGGCTCGTACTCCCAGCGGAGCGGAGACAAGTGGCCGTCGTTGAAATGCGCTCGCTGATGTTTCCTCCGAGCGTGCAGGAATTTCGAATCTCGCACGCGTTTTGCGCTCATCAATTACGCGAGGGCGACGACAAAAGGGCTCACGCGGCTCGACGGGGAACCGCGTAGCGAGCGCAGCGTCGGCTGCCGCGCGCGACCACAGCCGTCGTGCAGCTAAAGCTCTGCAGCGATATCCGGACAATGCGAGCGAGTTCCCGGGAAAACAGGTGCGCGATTGGAAATAATACAACCACTGTGGTTCGACATCTCGCGAACAGGACAGCCCGTTAAACTTGTTAGGGCTGCAGACTAGTGCGCACGGGCGCCGGCAGGAGGGTGCTAAGGGGCACTCAACACACCTCCCCCCTTCCCTTCACGCTCCTTATGCTGCACCAACACTTGATATAGACGTGGGGTTTAACGTCCCAAAACCACCATATGAATATGAGAGACGCCGTAGTGGCGGGCTCCGGAAATTTCGACCACCTGGGGTTCTTAAACATGCACCCAAATGTGACCACATGGGCCTACAGCATTTCCGCCTCCATCGGAAGCTGCACCAACACTTGCCCACCATCCGAGGCACATCAGCACTGTAGAACAAATGCAATGACAACATTCAGCTTCAGCTGATTTTGCATAAGGCATTCGTTAAATTCTTATCTGGTTGCTCCATGCGAGACAAAATGGTCAACTTCGGAAAAATCTTAATGTATTTATTATCATAAGGCCCAACTTAAATACCCACAACCAGACAAGTCCCTTAAAGCAGCAATCCACTATGTGACGTCTATTGCACACATGCACCAATCCCTGTCCTTAACTGTACAGCCGCATTTACCCCACTATCCACACACCACAATGCAAGGCGTGTGGTGCCTATCATATGGGCCTGTTGCACAGCTACTCACACAACAAAACACAGCACAAACACTACTATCAAAATAATCACCACAGCCAAGCAGTGGGAGGCCATGCTGCAAGGACCAGCTCAGGGCTGTCTGGCAGGCTGAAGACGCCGCTAAGATTCAAGGCCTGGCTGCTTCCCGAGGAAGGGGTGTTATGAAGGGGCCCATCTACCGACTCCCTGCCACCTCTGACCCCAGCAGGAACAATTAAATGAAGTTTCCTCTCAGAGCAATCAACTTCCTAGTTACAAGAATGCACAACCTCTTCAAATCCTTTTATGAACTATGGTACAGCTGTACACACGGTCATCTACACAATACATGAAGCAAATCCTACTTTGGAGCATAGCAACCAAATAATAGTGTTTAAGAACCCACTGCATTTTTTTTTGCATGAGAATTTACATGTCAGCATCTAATATGTAGAAAACATGACCTTTACTAAGTATGAGTGGAAAGCAAAGAACGACATGGCAAAAACATAGCCAAGGCTCATGCTTCCTTGCCGACATGCTGAGAGTGCTCACCATATGGTCAACCCGAAAAAATTTCATTTATTGAAGATTAACTTCTTTATTTTGTACTAATATACTTGTACTAATAACTGCCACACAAGTTTTTTGTCTGCTCAAGTTTTCCTTGCTTATGAAAAGTTTCCGTGTTTTCGGGTCAACTCTGCTCAACGAAACAGCAATGTGCAATGAACGTGCAAGTAAAAAGGTCGGCATTTATTATTTCATAAATAAGGATAGACAGCAGACCTGAAAGGCATTCAGCTCCAATGTTTCTAGCTCTAAAAATAATGCAAATGACTTGGCACACACAGGAGTGATATCATTAAGCCAAAACATTGAATGTGGAGACACATGTCACTTTTTGCAATTTATTGAGCAAAAGAAAGTAGACAGCCAGGCTGAAAATTCTGTCCTTCCTTGGTTTGCAATCTTCTATTCTTTCAGAAGCTGACTTCGTTCCAATAAGTACCATAGGTGCCAACTAAGTTGCGCACATATTATGTCGTGCATTTCAATACGTTTACACAAAATACATTGCTTCTGAGCAATGCATCTGCAGTACTAGCCTGCTGCTGAGCACTGCAAAGTATGCTTGTAGCCCTGCATTCATAAATGAATATTTATTATCACTGATAAAACATGCTAGTAGTCATGACGCTGATTATATTATTGCGAATAACAGGCCGATCGCAAACAGCAGTTGAATGAAAAGCTTCATAATTATGGCCCCTGGTGTCCAACTGCCTCACTTCCCCCGACAGGACTCGTACAGAATGGAGGTGAAACAGTTTACCGCTATCCTGAAGTGCCATAGCCAAAGATTTAATTTGAAACAAAATACAGGAATTCCAGTCCACACAATAAAAGCCTTTCGTATATTCTTTACTGTTCAAGAGAGGCACAACTAGCGAAAAATCGAAAGTATTGTCATTTTGTCATGTTTGTGATGATTAATTCAAGTATGAAGAAACTCAAATTGCCAAGCAGTTCAAATTTGTTCAATTGCCTATATAGTTCCTTTCACACTGATTTCTTTTTACACTTTCAGCAGTTATAAGACATTACTTACTCCAGATAGCTAATACACAATGGCGCAGTGGGCAAGCGCCTCGTATAAGGACATCACTTCACCTACAAAAGGATTAAATGAAGGCAAGACCGAAAAACAAGACTGGGGCAGTGGAACCCGAAGATGACGACAAAAGCATAGGTTGTACACCCCTAGCTTGCAGCACCTGATATCATCAGATGTGTCCATTGCCTAGTGGTCAGTATGTGGCCTGTGACAATCCTGCGAATTAAAAAAAAAAACCATGTCGGTGCAGAAGTCCTCCACCCTGTTGCAAAATTCACAGCACGGATGAAATATACTAATGGAAGACCGCACAAGATGCAGCCTCTCGTAGGCACTCTGTGCGATGTACTGTGGAGCCCCATGGGCAGGGTTCACAAGGTTGCAATACGGAACTCGTATTGCCGACTTCATTATGCCTTGGTCACTTCCTGCTGCTCAAACTTTGGGTAAACGGAGCAAACGTGGTCCCAGGTGATCTTTCCACGAACGAGGTCGTGCACCAGAGGAGCGAGGTCTTCAAGCTGCATGAGGAATCATACGTCTGTTGGTACAGCACACCTTTAGCTCTAGTGCATGGGTGTAAAACATGTGGCCCGTGCACCCCGTACTGCCTGCAGACCTATCGCTAGCTGCCCAGCCAGCACATGACTGTGTTTCCCCTCCATGTGTTGCAACATAACCATCGAACAAAAGCTCCATATTTTAAAATCGATGTCCAGATTACAGTAGTTTTGGAAATCCGTATCGATATGTTTTTTTTTTAAATTCTGACATCAATTCTCTTTAAGAAATAACCCATATATGAGATATGAGAAAAAGCCGCCTTTAAATAGCTGACATCTCGTTCCCTCTCTTGGCCCAGGCAGAATTCAATTTATTTTGAGACTTCGAGCCACTAGTCAGGCTGGCTTTGAGACCACTGCTCTAGTAGGAGCCTTCATTACAGGGTTTTCTGTGCCAAATGTAAGATTCGATTACAAGACAGTCTGAAGAGTGGGGGTCTCCTGCGCTGCTTTGACTAGCCAAGAGTTCTTTAACACACACCTATGTCTAAATGCACAAGCGTTTTTGTACTTTGCCCCCATTACCATGCAGCTGTCGCAGCTGAGACTAACTCGCAACTGCGTGAAGCGCATCAGCACTACCGTATTTACTCGCGTAATCCTCGCACTAGCACGATTCTCGCACCCCCCACATCGCCCAACAAAAATACGATTTCTTTTTTTCCTCGAGTAATTATCGCACCCCTGAAAACTGCTGCATTAATGTCGCCTGCTCTTTCCAGCCACTGATGATGATAGCGCACGTCATCTGGCGCCATCTCTTAAGCATCAAGCGTACTATTGCACAGAGATTCAATCCAACTCAAGCCAAGTCGAAGTGGCCAGTGCGAGTTGCGGCGTGTTTTGTATGTTGCGTCGGTAACCTTGTCAAGTTATGAGGCGATACTGAAGCTGTACGGCTGTTTTCAAGTTGCAAGTGATTGATAATGCACTAAAGAACGGCAACAGGGCCGCCGGTAGGCCCTTGGGATTGATGGTAAACTTTATTTAATAAGAAAACTGCGGTCTATTCTTTTAAATAGCCATCAGCCCAATACTGACGTCCCACGCTTACCTTTTGAGGGCTCTTGTTGAGCGACGAACGCTACCGCTACGTCCGCAACGTCCTGCAAGCTTTGCGTATGGTATTCTAATTCTCGACTATTCGCTTCCACTTTTTGTGTCTCAATAATCTTGTCTTGTGTTGAGCCTCTGCTTTTATTGTTGAGGTAAGTTTTAATTAGTACTTCTTAAAGCTTGCTGTTAGTTGTTGGTGTGAGAATACCGATTTGCGGCCACTTTGTTTTCTTTTTCGCTCTGTACGTTTTCGTAGAAAGCTTTCCCCGCGTAATTCTCGCACCCCCAACTTTTCATCGGTTTTCCGGCAAAAAAAGTGCGAGGATTATGCGAGTAAATACGGTATATCTTCAGCTACTAAGCTGCTACAGCTGGTCGCCTATACGAGGTTTCTACGCAACTTTAGGTTCATACGTCACCGTGGGTGTCATAATGTGAATCTTGAGTGATACTTCGTTTAATCACCACACTTGCTTGCACTGGTAACAAAAAAAATATTAGTACAACACTACTAAACTAAAGGTTTCAGACACATGCGGGCAAGACAATTTCTACTTAGCTCTCATTCCAAATGCCAAATCACATTCTACAAGGGCCACTGCTATTGAAGAACATGGCTTTCAGCAGAACAAAGCAGCGATTGTAACATCACTTTCAAAATAAGAGATCTTAATCATAGTATACTGTTATCATATATCAAATACTGTTAAGTTTAGGAAGAAGTTCAAAAACTGAAAAAAAAAAAAACTGATGAAACTTCGTAATTCTACTCGGAAGATGCAACTGTTCTGATAAACAGAGTTAATTTCCCATATGTTTGGACAGTTGGCTGTAATTTTGATGGATTGTCAGTGCCCGTCCTCCTCTTCCTTTTCTCTACCTCTCCTCTCATTCCACACTCCCCCTTCCACAAAAACGCAGATGCTTTGCCCTCAGTCAGGAGCATTTTTCGCAACCGATGTGTTCACACCGATTCTGAGAACCAGAGGGGAGATGAGTGAGCCGAGAGACGGGTGGGTTCGACGTGACCAAATGTACACCTTCTGTAGGTATTGGCATGGCCGCTAGACGTGGCAGTTTGCTAAAAATGCATTAAATTCATTATTCTCATGTTGTTTCGGCATGGAATGAAGCTTGTCTCTATCGATTTCAGGACCCTATCTTTCAATTTGGTTGAAAATCTTGGAGGCAAAAATTTTATTCATTATCCCTTTAAGAAGAGAAATAAAGCAGAGTACAAAGCACCCATCGTCTCCTTGATATTAGTGGACATATGAAGTCACAAGATTGAAAAAATGAGAATGCTTATATCAAACCAGAAGTAACACCAACCACTGAACACTTCATTTTCATATATGTGAAATACACATGCAAATGTCAGCCTCTGTCTCTTTTATCTCATGGTCCTACTGCCTTTTATCATCAGCAGCCAGTGTCTCTAAAAATGAATATTATTGTGAAGTTAATGATCTTAGAAATCATTACTGTCAAAATTCTTTGTCGAGTGAAATGCAATCATTTGGCTCACAAGTATTTGCGATTCTTTCAGAATGCATGACAGCAGAGAACAGCCTGGTGGAGTAACCAACAGAGCACTGGCTTTATATTTATTTTTTCACTGCACTGTCTGATGATTAAAATCATTGCCACCTCAACAAGTGGAAATGATTTGCTTGCCGAGACACTTCATAAGTACCGTATTTACTCGCATAATCCTCGCACTTTTTTCTGCAGAAAATCGATGCAAAGTGGGGGGTGCGAGAATTCATGTGGGGAAAACTTCTCCACGAAAACGTACAGAGTGAAAGAGAAAACGAAAGTGGCCACAAATCGGGATTCTCACACCAGCAACTAACAGCAAGCTTTGAGAAGTACCAATTAAAATTTACTTCTAAAAATAAAAGCAGGGGTTCACACAAAACAAGATTTATTTGAGACACAAAAAGTGGAAGCAAATAGTCGAAGATTAGGATACCATACTCAAAGCTTGTGGGCGTTGCAGGCGTAGCGGTAGCGTTGGTCACTCAACAGGAAAAGTGATGAAAAGGTGAGCGTAGAATGTCAGTATTGAGCTGATGGCTACTCAACAGAACCGTCTGCAGTTTACCATCAATCCCAGTTTTAGGCACACGGCAGGCCCAATGCGTCTTGGTGGCTTTCAGCTGCCATCACCAGTAGCGAACAGAAAACTCGTCGACTCCGATGGGCCTACCGGCGGCCCTGTTGCCGTTGTTTAGTGCATTATCAATCACTTTCAACTTGAAAGCAGCTGTGTAGCTTCAGCATCGCCCCATAACGTAACAAGATTACCGACACAACATACAAAACACGCCGCAACATGCACTTGCCGCTCTGGCTTGGATTGAATCTCCGTGCAATAATAGTACGCTTGATGCTTAAGAGATGGCGTTAGATGGTGCATGCTATCATCATCAATGGGCTGGAAGGAACTGACGACACTATTGCAGCAATTTTCGGGGGTGCGATAATTACTCGAGAAAAAAAAATCCTGTTTTTGTTTGGCGATGTGGTGGTGCGAGAATTATGCAAGTGCGAGGATTACGCAAGTAAATACGGTAGCCATCTACACATTTGTTTAAGGGGTACTGACACAAAATTTTGCGGCAAAGATAGCATGCATGGTCGATTGCCATAAACATTTGTATATCATCTGCAAAATATCAACAGCAAATATAAGTTGGGAGGTACTTAAAATTAATTTCGAAGTTTGGGTGAGCGCTCAGCTCTATCGTGTCATAGACATCCTCGAAGGGGACCCTTCGGGCATCCCCTACATCCCTCCCGTCACCACGCTGCAGTCAATAAAACATGATGATGATGATGTGTGGCGCTTTATGACGCAAGGGCCAATTGATGGCCAAATAGGGCCATTTCGATGAGTAGAGATGTGGACAATGATATGTTGCGTGGCTGTATAGGGGCCTTAAAATTCCTCACGATAATGCGGGTAAAAACATACGTATTAAAATCATGACAGTGGCGTGATATGCATAGTAAAAAAAGGGTGACAAAGGTTTTGATAATAAAAACGTGTAAAGATATTTGGCACTAGCACAAGTGCCTCATCAGCGCCCTTACGTCCAAGGGCTGCGAGGCAAGTGCTTTTCAATGTAGCCACAGCAGCAGCAACCTCTCTTGAGAGGTCGCGCTACGCATTGCCTGGGTATATGACATGATAAAAGCGAACATCTTTTAAAAAAGCTAGCACCGATTTATGAGTGAACAGTGGTTCCCTACCGACAAACACTGCAGGGTGTAAAGGTATATGTTGTCGGTAGGGTAATGAAAAAGTGTTGTTTTCTAAGAGTGTCTAGTTGTTTGCACTGGATTAAAATGTGAAGAACTGTTAGTGCTTCACCACATCTGTCACACAATGGTGGATCGCCACCGGACAAAAGATGTGAGTGTGTCGTGTATGTGTGTCCTATCCTGAGCCTTGTTAGTGTTACCTCTGTGTGACGTGATTTTGATACTGGCGGCCAATGGCCAAGGTGTGGCTTAATAACGTGTAGTTTGTTTTGTGTGTGTCTATCCCACTTGCTCTGCCAGTAGTCCCTGAGCTTTCGTTTGAGAAACGGCTTAAGATCAAGGGCCGGGATTGATATGGGTGTAGCGGCAGTGCTTTCGTGGACGGATGCAGCAAGCTGATCCGCCATCACGTTGCCTTGGATCTCACGGTGCCCTGGCATCCAGCACACTACAACATGTTTTGAGTGTGTAGAGTGTGCATAAAGTGGAGTAAAGTAAGACGAGGACAGGGTTTTTTTGTTTTTTAAGAGTGTGCAGAGCCATTACCACACTGAGTGAGTCTGTATAAATTACTGCTTATTGTATTTGTAGTTGTTTGATGTGTTTAGCAGCCACAAGTATCGCGTAAGCTT